TGTCCCTCAGGGGGAGAGACTGGGAGAAACTCATCAGAGCACGTGGGGTGTTTCAGGATGCAGGGTCCTGAGGTAAGACTTACTGCATCCAGTCTGCCTCAAGTGAAGGTGCAGGGCCTTTTTTGCTTTTGGTTTTTGTGAGGGGCTTGTTTTTCGCAGGGAGAAGAGGGCATAACTGTTCTCCCTGCACATATCTTGAAAAAACAGATTACCTAGCTACCAAATTCAAAAGATTTTATGTGCCACTTAACATTCACTTTAGGACTCTTTCTCCTCTCCTCCCTCCAAGGGAACATATTCCTAATATTTTATTAATAATGCTCTAAGGAGAAGCTGCTTTCTGCTCCTGAGTGCTGTGTACGATGATGGATGAGTTCACAACACCTGTTACTGGTACATACGTGGAAGTAATTTCCCCTTGCCTGTTCCACAGAAATCTGTTCTTTTCTCACATAGTCAAATACCCTGTTCCTATTTCTAGTAAATAGCTGCTAGATAAGCTTTGAAAAGGTTTTGTAATTAATTAATATCTTTTTTCTTTGTATGCCAATAAGTTAGATTATTGAAGGAAAGTATTTGTGCAAGAAATTAGAACTGAAGCTGCTTACATAGATATAGATAGACAGACAGGCATAAAACTTGCCTAGAAAAGGCTTGCCAAGAAGAAGGTTGATTTTCTCCAATGCAGAAAGTTAGCATGAAATCGTGCCCCACCACAGCTTACTCCAGCTCTGCTTTGGTATTCAGTTAAGACCAAAGGAGGACTTTAGTAATCCACAGCTGCACAGAGCTGAGTTTTCTTCCTAAGCACTCCTGAAGGCTCCCCTATTGCTCATTTAACCTTGGGAGTATTTCCAGACATCTGTATTTACCTACTCCTCTGGATATTCACTTATCAGCAGAAATATTCACCTAAAAAAAAAAAAACAAAACTTTTTCTAAGTAATTATCAGGGAAAAATCACAAGAAGCAATTTTATAATTTCTACAATTCACCTTTCCTCTTCAAATATGGTTTCTGTTCAATTACATTCATCCAGTCAGAGAAGATAAACTTATGAAAACTTGTAAGATAAACTTATGATGAAAATATTCCAAAAGATTAAAGTAGTCATGGGAAAAGATTTGCATTGTTAACACCTGTGAAGAACTCACCAAGCTTCTGTCCAACACAGCTGAATTTGAATATGCTGAAGATCACAAGTAAGGAGTAGCACACAGTGACATGAATTTTTAACATCATTACAATTGATTACTGAGGTGATAAGCATGACATGTTTTTACATACTGGGCTGCTCCAAAAGTAATGCCTCCAAATTTACTGTATCAGTCGGCAGTGTCAGAGGTGTATGTTGGCTCTCACCAGCATTCCATTGCATTTTCTGGCTGCATGACAGATGGCAGCAGAAGAGCAGTCTGACAAAATGGTATCTGACATGCAGGAAAAATGGCATCCATTGCCATTCATTGATGCTTGCTGAATACTTATGGAGACCAAACTGTGGATGCAGCAAAATGAGGCAACGGATGGTGCATTTCAGCACTCTTCATTGCCGAAATGCTGGGTCACCTCCACAGACTGTTGTAAGTGTGACATGCAGGCTCTTGTTCCTCCCTGGAGAAAATGCGCAGCTAATATTGGTGACTGTGCTGAAAAATTATTTTTTGTAGCTGAGAATTTGCTCTATGAATAGTGTTATTATGCTATTTGTCCCTACTGTAGTTTTCATGGAAAAAAATAGGAGACATTACTTTCAGAGTGGCCTACAAGTATGTATGGATACATAAGAAAATAAGCAAGACAATTAACAGTGCAGTCACACCACATGACCAAACAGTAACTGAGAATCAGCTGCTGGAAATAATCTCGTAAATTAGAACTGTTACATTTCAGTACCAGAATTGTTTCACTGATAACCCCAAAAGATGACCAACAGGTATATCAGATTTTCTTAATTTCTTCCACAGAAAACTGTATTTTCAATTCCAGTTTTGCACATGCAAAATAATACAAAGTTCACGATGGTGGAGAAAATACAGTGAAGCATGCAAAAAGAATTTTAAATGTCTGTGGTAGGCCAGGAGGAATGGCAGAATGACTGAAATGAAACTTTTACAGAGTGACTTCCAGATAAAGGAATAAGGCTTGTAAATGTCCTCCCACTTAAACAAAGCTGCAGCTGAAACCAACTGGCCTACTCTCAGGACCAGGTAACAGCTCACACCTGGTGGGCACCATGCTGGGCTCAATGCCACATTTGCCCCGGACTTTCAGTTATATGAGGGTTCTGTCTCTCACTTGATGACTGTGCCAGACGTTTCGTTTTGCTGAGATGTACCTCTAGGGAGCTCTGTGATACTTTGAGATGGCACAGAAAGATAAAGAGGAACGTACTGGATTCAGAAAAGCAACATCCAAACTACTAAGAGAAAATGCCCGACCTCACCAAATTTACACCAACGTGGACAAGGCGGGGTTTGAGACTCTTGGAAGAGGTCACTGTTCATTGGTCTAGGTGTTCCCAGAGCTTCTTAACATCCTCACATGCCCAGATGAAATGCTATGAGAGAAAAATGTCCACAAGAGGAGAAACTCCTAATTCCATTTGTGTGATAAATGGTTGCAAAATAATTTGATGTACAAGAGTCAAAGGAGGGATCGTTGCCAAGCTTTTGAAATCAGATGCCTTTTCTTTGAGGGACATTTGATTGAGGGACAAACAAGGGACAATTTCATCATACAAGAACGGGCAAAATAAAGACAGTAAGCAGTTTTCAATTAATTATCTTTATCTTCCTGAAAGACCTGCTAAATATACAGAGATGCCAGATCATGGACTGATACAGATCGTCCTGGAGTTCTCCTATGAGTTTATTTTTTCCCCTTCAGACTCCGTGTAAAGAAAGGCAAAGAAAGTCTGTCTGGTCATGCACCTGGCACACATTCTTGTATCCATGGAGACAAAGTATCAGAAAGGAGAAAAAGAACATTTTTAAGTGACCCTGACATTTGATACTGATGCAAAAACAAGGAAAGGAATGACCTAGTTGGAAGCCAAAAGCATGAAGTTTCTTTATTTCCTATGATTTAGTATCTCTCTCCCTCACATAGGGCAGATTCTTTTATAGACACTCCAGCATATGGGCCAGTGGAGCTCCAGCAAGTCTCCAAATGGCACAGTAGAAAGTTTCAAGCCTTACATTCAGCTTTTCTCTTTTAGCTCCTGTCCTGGAAGACATGTAGGTTGCTTTATTATTATTATTACTATTATTTGATGGAATAAATGATTTGTTTGTATCTGTATGAACAGAACTTAAAAGCGATTTGATGATTAGATGAATTGGAATTGACAGAGAGACCAATTCGTTAGGTTTGTATTAAAACTGTGGTAAAAACTGGCTTCTAGCTTCCAGACAATTTAATCAGATAAAAAATATCAGTGACTTTGTAAAAACACCCATAGAGTCTGTTTAACCAGACTTACAAATTATTTTTTCCCATAATAAATAGAAAGATGTGTTTACATTGCCTGCTTTTGCTTTTAAAGCATCTCATAAACATTACAAAACAATAATTCACAGCATTCTGAGAAGTAGTCTGGCAGTTTGCTCACCTTACAAGTATAAAAACAAGGAAGAGAAACTTGATCTCAGGAAGTTTTTGGTGCACAAGTCAATATGATTTTACTTGCTGCATGTCCCATAAACACAATGAATATTTATGATTGGGACTCATTAAATGGGTGAACAAATAAATGGCCAATTATACACACCATCAGGGTAGATAACGCATCTGACATGCACTTGCAGTTGTTTAACAAGAATTTGGAAAATCAGGTCCTCCCTCTCAAACCTGACTCCTTCGCCGGGGGGCTGCCCAACAGCACAGGGCTCCTGGCTATAATGCCCACGCCTTACAAAGTCACCGCAGAGTTTTGCCACAACAACCCCAGTCTCAGGAGAATCCTGAAAAGTTGTCCCCTTTCAGCACTGCTTTATCATCCAAGTCCAACCATCATGATGAACCACACAAAAGAGCAGATGTTGCTTTACAGCCCTCTGCAAATATCAAAACCAAAACTCCGGCAGATCTCAAGAGGCTTCAGATCCAGCCCACGATGGAAGAACTTGATTTTCTAAGAGCCTTGACATATCAAATATCATCTGAGCATTCAGGTGGGAGCCTGCCCTCACACCACAGACTGCACCTAGGCTGTAGTGAGCGCCGAGGGCACAGCAGCGTACCCCTATAGGGCCCACGGCCCCTACCCACCTGCATGACATGGGGTGCCACAGGACCGAGGTGCCACAAGGCACAGCGCTGCAGGGCTGGGGTGCTGCAGGGCAAGGTGCCCCACACCTCCTCTGCTGGCCACAAAGCAGGACTTGGCCACTCAGAGCCAAGCTGAGCAATCACCCAGTCATCTGCCCAACTTTATTCAGAAGCATTACACTTTTGGCTAAGCGGCTACAACCTGGAGCTGTCTCCAGCCTGCAGGCTGGGCAATAAAATCCTTTGTCTGACAAACCCATCACAGAGGTTTGCTCACACTGTCACTCGGGCATAGAATCCCAAGCACATTCCCAAGCCTCCTTTAAGGAATTAACGCTTGCTTGCTTTGCCATCCCGAGAGTGTTTACAGAGCCAAAACAACCGTGCTTGCAGTACACTGTGCAAAGAGGTGATGACATCAGGAAGATAGGTCACAAGCTTGAGTTTATAGTCATTACACTTACACTGGTATGGCTTTTCATCCACTCGGTATAATCTTATGACCCCACAACTTTACAACCCTCCACTCTCTGGGTTTCATAGCACCTCTCCACTCCGGGTTAATCATTTCTCTGTCATTATCTGCCAAGAGTTCTTATCTCTTCTGCTGTCACTTTATAACAGGGCCTTCTTATCAAGCTGTACTAAATCACGTGATGGGGCCAAACCTATCACAAGTTCCAATTCTTCTGATTAGAGACTATCATGAAATGGGATACATGGTTTACAGCAGGTCACTAATGCTGGAAAAAGTACAGAGTCCACTGAAAGACATGCTTGTTACTTTCTGAATTCTGGGATAATTTTTTTGTTGTTGTTCATCACTCCGACTTTCACTGAGGGTTATTATAGCCTTGGTCTCAAGGCCAGAAAAGTTTACAGGCTGCACCTCTTCCGTACTCAATGCTGTACACCTTGCACCCAAGGGTACTGTATATTTACACTCAATGATGTCTTCTAGTTCTCACACGGCCATCATACAGGAATCTATAAAACATGGACTTACATCAGTCGGTAAGTAACAGTTTTCTGTTTTGATGACTCTGCGTAAATATATGAGATTGAGGCTGCCCAAACCAAAAAAAATCATTACGATTGGGCAAGCAAACAAAACTGATTAATTTACATGTGTTTTTAGGCAAATGAGAACTTTATGACGCTATGTAAAATGAAAGTAAACAGCCGATGACTGAGTGAATGATTTTTTCCTGCAGAGATAATGTGATTACCAAATTTACCATTGGACCATTAATAGTATTTTTAAATACTATAATTGCTAATTACTAAGAAATTGCATATGCGCGTGTGTGTATCAGCACTGGTGAAAAGCATAAATTGCTACCGGCCTGACTGTTGTTACTGAATAAAACCTCAGGAATGTTTTCAGGGTATTTTTGTTGTTGTTGCAGTTCTGTAAGTAACATGGGTGTTAAATACAGATTCTTTTTAGTATCTAAAACACATACAGATATTCATTTAGTAGGGATGGGCTAGATAGTGAAGGTCGGTTGATACCTCAGAGCAGTGAAGAAACACTTTCAGATATGGAACAGCACCCACTCGCTCTCCACTGAGCAAGCCAGCTGGCGCAGGTTGCTCTGGCTTTCCAACACGAGGGATCTGTGCCCCAGCTGCCCAGGTCTGCAGGGGCTGTGGTGAAGCCCCAGCAGGGCTGCAGATGGCATGCCAAAGCAGACTGCTCCTACATGGACTGGGAGGCTGTTCTGCCTGTGCAAGGCAGCTCAGCCACGCCGCAGGTTCCACAGCCGCTGGCTGTGCAAGGCTGTGCCTTGGCACGGCAGTTTATGGCAAGGATGAAAAAGGGAGCTTTGGCCCAGGGCCCACGTACCTGGGATCACTACCCTCTTCTTACCCCAAAGTGCGTCACTGTGTGCAGGCAAGGCACTCGTCCTGATGCAGGGTGTGATATGGGCCCCTTGCCATCAAGGCACTGCAGCGATGGAAGGTGCAGCAACAGCTGCAGGAAGTACCCTCAAATCTAGCTGAAACCTGATCTTGATCTCCTAGGTTGAGCTGCTCCTTCTCCAGAGAAGGGGAGGGTACCCATGGACAGGTTCCCACTTGGGACCCAGCTGTGCCCCAGGCCGCCGGCCCCCAGGAGCTCCTTGCTCACCCCCTCCTCCTGCTCTACACCTCCCACACAAGGGCCATGCCCAACATCACAGCACACTTTGCTGGGCTGTGAATGAATGGCTGGAGGATAATGTGCTATAACTGTTCTGTAAGGGTACCCATCCACAACAGTAGAAGAAGGAAAAATGAGACATTCCTCTCCATCATACTTACACCAAATATATTTAGGGTTCTCTAAATCATGTAGATATGAAGGACAGAGGGTTGTGAATTAGCAAAACCCTGTTGTCACCACACTTCCAAAATGCACTCATGTGCCGTGCTGTGGTCATACCAGGTCACATTCTCTAAGCAAGGCGCAGGAAAAGCAGATCTGAATCCTGTGCCAGTCTCTGAAATCCTAAGTGCTCTCTGTCCAGGGTAGGACTGTTGCCTTGTGTGGCACAGCACTGCCACAGCTCCTGGTGGCTTTCCTGACAAGTCTAACCTGATGTGTGTACCCTGAATACCACGTGCCCTTAGGGTTAAATGTAAGGAGGAGCAGGATCCTGCTCTTATTTGCTCTCCCTTCATGGAATAAGCACAATCTGCACAAATGCCAAGTAGACTAAATCTCATCTCTGGACTTTCCCTTCTGTCCAGTCCTTCCCAGCACATCCTTTGCTCTTTCCTCCCCACGCCAAAACAAAGCAGGTGAGTGTGTGAGGTGCTCCTGTTGGGGGCACTTGTGCATGAACAGCCAGTGCTTATCCACTGGGATAAGTCAGTCCGTGGTACAGAGCAGCAACATACCACTGCAAGGGTGAGCCCGCTTCCTCTTGGCCTTGTCCAGTTCCCATGAACACCAATAAAACTCCTTCTCTCATTTAAAGGGGAGTGGATCTGCCCCTCAGAGAGCAAACAGCCAGAATGGAGCTGACACCTGCTTTTAGGTTTACAGTCATGTAGTAAAAAAAAAGTAGCTGAAATTCACGGGATCTTACTAGAACATCACATCTTCCAGGTGAAGATTATCATACAGTCCTCTGGAAGTGCCTTGATTTTTTTCTGGTTGGATTCCTAGGCAGCACAAAGTCACTCAACCAGCTGGATTTTCCTCCAGTCATACCGCTGTCTTAGCATCCTTAGGGACATTGCAATTGGTGTAAGCATGACTATATGACAGAAATACCTATATACCTATGACTATATAACAGAAATAACTGTTTCATTAACTTAAAAAAATAGTTGCAGAGCAGGACAAATAATCTCCTTGCAATTTCTTACTTTGAGGCTTTTCAGCTTGTGTAATACTTACTGCCATCTTAATTTTAATGTCATCAATGTAATCAAAATTCTGGTTAGAATTTACAGTATTCTAACCAGTGCTGTCCAGTTTGGCAAGGTTTGTTTGTATGGATTACTACTATTAGCATGCATGTATCATGCACTTTCACATCACTGGCAAAGACAGCAAATGCTGTCTTTACAAGTTTGGATGAGGATTCTGGCCAGCAGAGCAAGCAAAGCTTCCATGGGAATGAGCAGAGGTTGAGTGCAGGGCAGCTTTTAACAGTGACATCTCAATGCTAATCATGACTTCTACGCAGTTTTCCTCTCCTTAAATATTTCTGCCATCATTATACTGCAAATGAACTATTTAGAAAAGTGGCATATACACTTGGTTCTCTTCAGTCTTATAAGGAAGTTTAATTTTAAATACTCAAATACATGGAGCAAAACAACAATGATGATGCCTGTGGTTTCCAGAGGAAAAGCCTCCAGTCACCCATCCATGTGGGCATCTAGGAGGTCAGCTCCCAGCCAGTCCTTAACAGGGTGGCAGGGAAGAATTACCTGCAGCAAGAGCTGTGCCTTGCTGCGGTGAGGACAGAAACGTTACTGAAGTGTAGAGTTTACTCTCCTATTCCACAAGTATTGCAGAGCTGATATGTGCATCAGTAGGTATAAGATATATTAATACATAGTTATAAATAATGGACAGCCTTGCATACATACACAATCATTATCGAGATTTCTCAATATAAACCTTGCAATTTTATCTTTTCATGGTTTGTTTTATGATTATACACCTATGTGCGGAGAACCCTTAGATGATACATATACATCTATGAGCTCTGGGTTTGCTCACGATAAAGATCAGCTATTAAACTACTTTTTGTAAATAAAGTTTGCAAGCTTCAAAACATAATCACTATTTGGGAGGGGAGGGGGCAGGAACGGACCTAAAACATTTCCTTTTTATTTTTTTTATTTTTCGCCAGCAGATCAAGGTCAGTTGCCTCAGCAAAAGAAATTTCATTTTTAAGTCTGTCTGTGCAGGATAGAAATCAATTATCTCTTATGGTACAGAGGCCAGCGCTCAGCCCTGACAGGAGCCTTGCTTTATACACAAATATATTTGGAGTACTTCCAGACCAGGCTGCAGCCTTTGTAACTAAGATGCTCCACGCGCAGCTTCAAAGGGGCAGCGCAGCCGAGACAAACGGACCCCACCGGCAAAAAAAACCAAATACCTGGGTGGCTGTTTGCACCCAGGCGGTTGGGCCCGGCCCCGGCGGGCAGCGCTGCCGAGCACCCCTCGCCGCGCCGCGCCGCCCCGTGCAGGGCTGGGACTGCGGTTCCGCTGCGGGGCGGGCGCAGGGAGGGGCCCGCTGAGTGTCCTCGGGGCGAGGACGTTTTCCCTCCGCGCGGTTAGCGGCAACAGGTCCGAGCAGTGCTGGGATAGAATGCGCCTCCCCTACGAAAGGCATAGCGTTTAGCGTTAAGAAAGAAAGAAAACTAGCGTGTTTTCTACTTGCAAAACCGACTCTTTGAGTGTGTTAGGCTAAAGGCTGGCTTGCGCCGAAGGCTGCGGCTCGCCGCCGGTGCCGCCGGTGCTGCCGATGCAGGGAACCCCCCCGCAAGCTCCGGGCAGGGCTCGTCTCTCCCGAGGCGCCCGTGCCTTCGGCCGCCCGGGCCGGCCGCGCTGCCTCAGCCCTCGCCTCCCCCCGGGCACCGCAGGAGCGCCGGCAGCCCTTCGGGGAGCCGCCGGGAGAGCCGCTGCCCAGAGCCGTCAGGGGGCACCGCGCTGCGCCCCGAGCCCGGCGGGCTGCGGCAGGACGGGGTGCGGCATCGCAACGCCTTCCGGTGAGTCACCGGCAATAAAAGAAAAGCAATCACGGAGGTGCTTTGCCACCCACTTGGCCCGACGCGCTCCTCGCCCTGGAGTATCCCGCAGTTTCGCATCACCCGTCGCTGCCAGGTGTTTATAAGGCAGCAGGGCGTTCCAGCGTGCAGCAGTAACCTCGGCCGGGCGTTAAAAATAGCTTCTCGGTCAATAATTGACTGCTTGGAAAAGGCTCTCCGGTTCGGACCGGAGAGGATCGGCATCTCCGCAAGGCAGCGGTGATGACTTGCAGCAGAAAAAACGCAACAGGCTTTGGAAAGTGATCCTCTGTGGTGTGCGTTTTGCTTCAGAAAGCACTGCAGCCCGATCACTGTCTCTGATTTGCTGACAGCGGATCAAAAACATTACGGAAAAATAAAGCATGTTTTTGTGCTTTCTGCCGTTTTCTGGAAGGGACAGTTTGCTTTCTAAAGCCTGAGCTGGAAGCACTAACAACCTCCGCCCAACTGAATCCCTAGGAACCAAAAGTAACGCTCCTTGGCTAAGTGATGAGAGGAGCTCGTGGGCTGTGCGACTTTGGCGGTGTCAGGGAACTCTCCCTGTTGTACCGTGGGGGTGACTGTGATGGTAGGGATGGCAGGGATACGGCGGGGGTGAAGACATGGGGTAAGAGATGAGAGGTAAAAGAAGGAAAAAGAAAAAGAAAAAGAAAAAGAAAAAGAAAAAGAAAAAGAAAAAGAAAGGAATAGAGCCTGTGATAGATACATATTTCCTGGTATAAACAATCTCGTAAAGTTGGGAGTGAGAAGTGAGTGAGATGAAGCAGACGCAGCATTACAAATGTTGCAGCTGCAGAGGGGAGCTGCTCACGCCGCTCAGTCACACGCTGCTTGCCCGGGGGCACTGCCCGTGTATGTCCGGGGCTGGGCAGCGTGAGGCGGCATGGGGCAGCACAGAGCGGCACGGGGAGGTGTGCCGCTAGGGCTGGGCTGCTAGGGATCGCTTGGGCCAGCTCCGTGGCAGGGACTTCACCCACAACTGTCTGAAGGCACCGATTTTGGGGAGACATCCTTGAGATTCACTCTGGGGCTAAAAACGTGATACTTGGAAGAAAAGCTTGCTTGCTGGGAACATAAACCCAACCTTCTTCGGGCCACTTTCCCCCACAGAGGTGGCAGGGAGCGCTACCTGCTGCTCAGATCATCGGGGATGGGGATGTCTCTGTGTGTGCAACATCAGCACCAGTTCTGCGGCCTCTTTGAAGCCGTAAGAAATTGGAGCTTGAAGTATCGCCGCACAGAACCCTCTGCTTTCTAACAGAGAGGTGGAAGAAGTTTCAAATTATTGAAAATCAGTCTGTGTGCTTTTTTTTAATGTAAATGAACATACATTTAAATAGGGAAGTATAAAATATTCCAGGTCTTGCTCCTTGTACTAATCAAGGCTGCTGGAGGCTCCCCGAGCCATCATCTTTTATAATTATAATTACACGCGTCAATCAAGACCTTCAGGCAAAGTCAGAACAAGGCAGGCAAACTCAGGAGAGAAATCACGTTTAAAAAAAAAAAGTTTGGAGAACTTGGTAAGGAATGGAGAAGAGATTAGAAGAAAGGGTAATTAAGGTTGCTCAAGGCAATCGTGAGTGCTAGGACTCCATGTTAAATTAAACATAGCCACAAGGGACCAGGTATCATTTATAATGTGTACTGCCCTAAACTGTTACTTTGGAGAAACGTGGATGTGTAATAAGCTTTCCAAAGTATGTCCATCTGTAGCGATGGCTGGCAGAGCAGCTCTGCAGCGCTGTGCTTGCCCAACCCCTGCCCGGCAGAACGATGTGTAGCCCATGAGTGAGACCAGAGCTCCCGAGGCCCGCCGCCAGGGCCGGGCCCGGGGTGAGGGCGTTCCGGCCGTTCTGCCGGGGCTGCCCGCGTGGCTCTCTGCCCTATTTTTCGCCCAAACGCGGGGGCTTTTCTCGGAGCAAAACTCACGAGAGCAGAGGCACGGGGCGCCTCGGCGGGCGGCGTGACCGAGAGGGGAGGGAGCGGCGGTTCCCCGACGGCTCGGCGGGTCTCCCTCTCGCAGGGCCCGAAGCCGCGGCCCCGCCGAGAGCGCGGCCCCCGGCCCCAGCTCAGAGCTTCGAGCCACGAGCCCCGGGGCGGGCGGCCGAAGGAGCGGAGCTGCCGCTGCGCTCAGCCCCGGCCAGAGCCGGGCAGCAGTCGGGAGCCGGCCCGGGTGACGCCGCATGGCGACGCCGTCCCGAGGGCTTGTTTGTGACTGAGGCCGGGGGGAGAAGCTCCTCAGCGGCCGCACGGTCTCGCCCGGCCCGCTCCTTACCGAGGCACGGGCGCACTCCCTCGGGGGCTCTCGGCTGCCCCGCAGAGCACCGCGCTGGTGCCCCGCGGCTCGTCACGCCTCTGCATCGCGCTGCAGGAGAACCGCTAAGGTGTGAAGTTACAGCTTGAGAAATAACGCGATGACATAGACCAAAACTTCGGAATGACAAAACGTAAGGAGCCCGTAAGCTCCGAACTTCAATGCGCTCTGGGTCCAGCCCCACAAAGCTAAACACCCTGCACAGAGCAGGAAAGACGGAACTCTCTGTCTGTGTAGGTTCAGGGTCTGCACTCAGTTAAGCAAAGCTCTCCCCGTCGGTGGGTGAGAAAAGTTCGAACTGTGGAGAAAATGGCACACGCGATGCACTCCGGCCCCACTCCCTTTCATTCATCACAAGCGGCTGTAAGCGGCTGCTCCGCAATCTGTCCTAGCCGATGGGAAAAGCGGCCCAGCGCCGCGGACAGTTCCGTGCCTCACTTTCAATCGGAAGCAGTTTTCGGCTTTTAGTATACAGAACGGTGACTGAAATCTCAGAGCAGCACGGGCGGGGGGTCTCGGATGCTTGCAGAGGTGACAATAGCGCTCAGTCCACACCGCCCGGTGGGGGTGACCGGAGCCCGCGGTGCCCACCGAACGGCCGGGACGGGCGGGGCAGCGGGGCGGGCGGACCCCCGGCCCCAGCGCGGCTGTGCGGGGCTGCTTCGCACTGCGGGGCCGCCCGGCTCCCGCTGAGACGCCCGCTCGAGAGAAACAAGTTATCTGAGATAACGCGGGGAGCAGTACCGCTCGCCGCACCGTGAGCTGGAGAAGGGAAGCTCTTGCTCAAGCGATGGCTCGGCCGGGGCATCGGATTTTGTGCAAACGATGCAACCGGCACCGATAGATTTCGCAAGAAGTTTTAGGGAAAGGAGACGCTACGAGCCAGAATAGATAGGCGAGCTCCCGCCCTCTACATTCAGGCTCTGGGGCAGAGAGGCGGCAGCGGGTCCCGAGGGCCGGGGCTCCCCAGACGCCGAGGTTCCCGCTGCCCGCCCCCCCCCCCCACCCCCCGCAGGGAGACAGGCGAGCGCCGGGGGTCCCGCGGGAGGCAGAGGGGAGCTGCAGCGGGGTGCGCGGCGGGCCGAGGGCTGTCGGGCTGCTCTGGGGCGGGCGGGTTCGGCTGCGGCCCTCAGCCCGGCCAACAAGCGGGCGGGGGGCGATCACGCTGTGTGCGAGCGTGTGTGCGCGCGTGTGTCGCGCGGGGGTGTCCTCGCTTCTCCTCCGCCGTATTGGCTGCGAGAGCCGTGTCGGTGCCCCCCTTCGCCGAAGCCCCCGCGGCCTCCGGGCTCCGGGAGCGCCTCCCCACGCGTCCGGGGCGAGAGGTCCCGGCTCGGCACCTCCGCACTTGTGGCGGGGGAAAGGGGGAGGAGGAGGAGGAGGGAGGAAGGGAGGAGGGGACCGGGGGTGGGAACCCTGTCCAGCGGCACCGGCGGCGGCAGAGCGCTCCCGTGCACTGCGCCTCTCCGCATGGATCGGGGCGCCGGGCTGCAGCCGTGCTGAGCCCCGGGCGGAGCTGCTGCGGGCTCCCGGGGTCGCTCCTTCCTCTCCGACACCCCCCGGTCTTCCTCCTCCTCCTCTCCTCTCCGCCCCCGCCCCCGCCGCCTGCAGACCGACAACCGCTCCGCGGCTCTCCCGGCCGCGGGCACCCGGCGGCGCTTCCCGGCGGCCGGGGCCGCTCGGCGCTCCCGCTGCAGCGGGGCAAGGGCCGGCGCGGAGCGGAGGGAGGGAAGAGGAGGAGGAGGAGGAAGAAGAGGCGTCGGCCGCCGAGCGCCCCGCGGTCCCGCTAAATCTGTGCTGCCGTGTCCAGGTGCCGGTGCCGCGGACGGACACGGAGCCCCCAGCCCGGCCCGCAGCCGCCCTGTCATGCTGCCCAAAGTGGAGACGGAGGCCCTGGGACTCGCCCGGTCGAATGGGGAACAGGGGCAGATGCCAGAAAACATGCAAGGTAAGGGGGGAATTGCACGGCGCTCCCCCTCCGCGCACGCTCGGCTCCCCACCCCTGCAAACCGCCCTCGCGTCCTGCCAAAAAAGTTTAGGGCTGCCGCCCGCGAGCTCCGCCGAACTCGCGCCTTCGCGGCTCGGGCACCAAATCACCGGCGCTGGATCGCGGTAGGGCCCGGCCGGGAGGCGCGGCCGCGGCGGTCGGGAGCCTCGCCCGAGGGACACCGGCGCTGGCGTCCCATCCCCGCTCCGCCCGAAACTATCGCCAAGTTTACGGCGACGGAGCCGCGCAGGACAGTCCGGGAGAACAGCCCGCGTGCCAACCGCGGGGCCCGAGGGGACAGCACAGGTGGCAGCGGCCGCGGGGCGAAACTTCGCCCGGAGCCCCGGCGCGCGTGCACCGTTCCGGGTCCCCCCGCGGGCGACGGCGGGACGCACGAGCTGGAAGCGCCTCGCCTGGCCGGGCCGGGTCGGGGGCTGCGAGGATCGGTTCCCGCGGCCCCGTGAACGGGAGCTGCCCGCTCCGCCCCCTGCCTGCCCCGAGCGGCGGGTTCTGCCCCGTGGCTCTTCGGAAGCCGTCCCCCGTCCTCCCGGGAGCCCGCAGGGAAGTAGGGGTGCAGTGGGCCGGGGGCTCGGAGGTGCCGGGGGCGGCCCGCCCGCCCCTTTCTTCGCCCGCAGAGGAGGCTCCCCACCCAGCGCTCGGAAAACCCCTGCTTTCCCACTCGGGTTTTTTTGTTGTTTTTTGTGTTTTTTTTTTTTTTTTTTTTTTTTTTTCCTGCGAGGAGAGAGAACTCGGTCCCAGCGCCGGGTCCCGGAGCGGCGGCCGAGGGAGCAGAGGGGAGGGCCGGGCTTCTCTCCTCCCCCGTCCGCCACCGCCCCGCGTCCGCCCCACGCCGCTTGCAGGCGGTGACTCCGGCTGTGCCGAGGCCGCCCCGGAGCCGCTGCCCCGGCCGCGTGCCGGCGGGTTCATGCCCCGGCGCGCAGCTCCCGCGGCCCCCCAGCCGGGCTCCCCCCGGGGCGCTTCGGGCGGGCTACGGTCGCTCCGCCGCCCGCGACCCGCGGCAGCAGCGGGGCTACCGGGAAGGAGGCGACGTCCCGAGCGCCGCCGCTGCGCGCCCGGCGCCTCCCGCGACCACTCGGGAACCCTCCGCCGCCGCCGACCCGAGGTCCAGGGAGGGAAATCGGCGGCGCCGCTCGGGACGGGCTCGCTTTCCGTGAATCGCCCGCCGGAGCGGCCGAGCGGGCTCTTCGGAGGGAGCCCGACTCGAGCGACCGCGCTCCGCGCCCGCCTTCAGCCCGACGTGCGCCCACCGGGCGGCTCCCCGGCCCCTTCCCAGAGCGGCCCGAACGCCGGGCGCGTGGCCCCCGACACTCAGGGACGCCGGTGCCGAGCCGGGACCCGCTCCTTGCCCGCGCCACCGGGGCCGGGCGGCAGCGCCGAGCTTGAGCGCGACGCCGTGCCCGGCTGAGGCAGGTCGGAGCTGCGGGCAGCGCTCCCGCTGCGGCTCGGGGCCGGGCTGCGGAGCGGAGCGGGGGGCGGCGGTCGCCCCGAGCCCACGAGCTCCCGCTTAGCAAGTAAGTAACTTGACTGCAACGCGGCACAAAAGTGCTGGGCTGTAAGATACGAGCCTAGGCTAAGTAAATATTTGCAGGCTGATGTTGAAAGAAAACTTTAAAGGAAACAACCGAGTCACTTTAAATACGGCGGTGACGCTTCATCTTTCCATTGCACTTTCTTAAAGCCCGTTCCCGATCACTCTCGGATTTAAACGAACTCGTTAAGCTTGTGATTCCCTCAGCTAGGCGCTGAGTTAAGAGCACTCCGTGAACATAAATACTGAGAACTAAGCGTGAGGAGCCAAGGGGTTTGGCTTCACCTGTTCAGAGCCACACGGTATTGCTGTTGGGCAAAAGCTGCACACTGCAGTGCCAGCCGTACTCTGAAACATCGAACTTTCTGCAATACTTTCTGCTGTACTTTAAAGAGAACTGTTCCTCTAGAACAGTTGCAGAAAAAAGCGAGTTGTTAACGTAAATCCTAATAGAACGTGCTATTTCTCCTCTTCCCAGTGTCTCAGTTTAAAATGGTGAATTACTCTTACGACGAAGACCTGGAGGAGCTGTGTCCGGTGTGCGGAGATAAAGTGTCGGGGTACCACTACGGGCTGCTCACCTGCGAGAGCTGCAAGGTGCTGTACTCACTGCTTCATACAAACAGAAGTACAGCAAAAAAACTTTCAAAATAAGCAAAAAAAGACAAACTAAGGCAGTTAATAGTTGGGCTTATTTCTAATGTGTTTCTTGCTAGATTCTCACGAAAAATTAAGCACCAAAACGCTGTAGGATTAGAAGTGTGAAATGAGAGAGAGCTCATTTGCACAAAAGGGTAGAAACAATGTGGGCTGTTTTCGTAGCTTTAGTGTTACTTTAAAGTGTTTCGCTGTTGTAAAGTGACGTAGTTACAGCGTAACTTTTACTCCTAACTGTCCCAAATATCGATCTCCGTTGATTTAGGTACGCTTAGGCTATTTCTTTTCCCGGAGGACAAAGCCAGAGTCTCTTCAGCACAGCTCACTTTCACAGTCTCATGCAGCTGTACCATTTCCCATCCCTCGGTGCTACACAGCACATTTCTGTGACAGTGGTGACTCGGCTGTTCTTACAGCAGCCAGACACTGCCAGAGCTCACCTGACACAAAGCTACAAACGTATGACTTGTTTTCAATTGTTCCTTATTTTGAGAATAACGTTTTTGTAAAGGTAACCGCCTTTAACTACTTCCGAATTAATTTATCTGCACGGTTTTGTTACACTCAAGTTTAAATATACATGAATTTATGGCGTGATCAATTTGTCAGGTAAAAATTTGCAAAGTTCTTTACAGCCATCTAAGTAATGCACTGTAAGGAAGCTCCACGGCTTGAACAAAGCAATTTAAAACACTTAGCTGCACAGCAAAACTAACTTGGCACATTATATTTTCATTAAAACAAAATCAATGAGAATTGAATAACAAGCACTTATGCCTTTAGCACACACCACTGGGATACACGTTCACCAGAGGTATTCTGCTTGTTTTTATCTTTGCCACAGTGTTCCTACTTATTTTACAGATAACTGCTTTGAAGGGAACACTTATTTTACAATTAAGTCATGCAGAAGGAGCTGCCCAGCCTCTCCTTCCACACTGCCTACAGCCTCTTGCTAAGCTTTGATGCAAGCCCAGAAGGCAGAGCCCTAGCTCAAGAGAAGCTCCTGTAGGGTCTGGTGCTTCTTTCCTAACTTTCATTTAAACCCAACTGCAGAACTGTGTATGAAGAGTCTGACGAATATGTTACAATGCATTCTGTGCAATGAAATGCTGAAACACACCATTCAAGCAAGAGGGCTGACTTTCCTATCTCCCATGCAGGGATTCTTTAAGCGGACGGTGCAGAATAACAAGAGGTACACGTGTATAGAGAACCAGAACTGCCAGATTGACAAAACCCAGAGGAAGCGATGCCCTTACTGCCGATTTCAAAAATGCCTCAGTGTTGGAATGAAACTAGAAGGTAAGAGCCCCAGCCCTGCTCACACCAGCTGCAGCAGTACACGTTATGATAAACGCTGGTTTATGAACATTATGCTGTATAGCACAGTTTTAAAGTTGTAGTAAAAGGTGGCTTGTGTTCAATGAGACTGAGGCTTCCTATAACAAGAAAATGGTAAGATGGTAAAAAATCCAAAAACTTGCCAAAACCATACACTCCATTTTCATGTATGTACGTACTTGGATATTTCAGTACTTCCAACCTTGCAAATGAAGGGCTCCAGATAGTGGAAATTAGTTCTGCAGCTTTAGAAAAGGATTTAATTTAAATTACACTAAATATGTAAGAGGCATCTCGGTTTTGGACATTCTTTGTTAGAGTGATGTGATCTTATTTCTATTTTATCCAGGTTCCTTTTATAGTATTATCTTCTGATAATATGGCACAAAAAGAGAGACAGAATATACAAGTCCTTTCTTACAGCGACTTGCTTTTGGGATTAAGGACCAAAAACTTCTAAAGTTATGTCCTGTATTTTTCGTGGTGCTACACCTGAGATGTTATCACCAATGGAAGAATAAGGACTTCGAAGTATACTTTTTTACTTCATTTGGCTCTGTCCTGTACAGAGAGGAATGAAGAGGATACGATGCCCTTTGAGAAAAGAAAATGAAAAAATGTCACTGAGATTCAAATGTGAGACTCAAGTTGATTTTAACATTGATAAATAAAATAAACTGAGATTTCAAAGCAGAAAGCATTTCTACTTAACCAAGCACATCCTTCTAAATTCCTTATTCTTCTTTTGTGCTGAAATGGCATTTACCTGAGACACCTAACAAGGAAGAATCAGATTAACAAGGGATACAATAAACCATTAAGGGAGCCATAAAGGACAAGCCCCAATCACCTGAGTTTGGCAGAGGAAAACTTCTGCTATAACTGAAGATCAACAGAATAATCAGCCCTCTGCAATCTGATGAATTCAACACTGTTCTGTCTGCCCGTAGCCTCAGCTACCGCTGATGCTGCACTACACATCCCAAACCCTGCACACACATCCAAATTCAAGCAGTAAAATAACCAGACGTTGGGAGTCATTTTCCCCTTGCTGGCAGAGAACAAGGATAAATTGCATAAACTATTTTTACCTCCTCTCAATTGTGGGCAATGATACAGGTGCAATTTTTGTGCTTCTGTGATTTCATGCATTGCACCCTAACTTCTGTAGGAGTTACACCAAGAGCATTTGCTAATAGAATTTGCCATGTAGCTGATAATTCTGGATACCTGGAAGGACACTGTGCATGCAGACTTAAAGTTACATTTGGCAGCACTGTGATTTAATTAGTTTTCTGCATTTCACTCAAAACCAACATTCAGCAGCATTATTAGGAACATTTTGACTGCAAACGTAAGTAAGGTGCACATAGTTTTAAAGGTGCTTTAGAAGTGTACTGTGTACTCCAACTCCCTTGGCTGTACACCCATACAACTTCTTTTCCTCTCGTTAGAGAATTGTTAACACCACGTGCTTCTGTGACTGTAAATACCTGTGACATTTATGTGTGTATTTCCCTGATAGTGATATATATATATATAAACAGCCTTAAAGCCTTAAATCTTGTTCATAAATTACCATGCGCCAAAAAATAGAGAATCATTAAACGTTGAAGTCCTTATGATAATGCACAGTATTATGTGTATTCAGCATCCAGAATAAATTTTTAATGTCCTACTAATCCCTAAGATAAAAAGCTCAAGAACTTAACCTCCAGCAATCTCAGCAGTGCCCACATGTCACCCGGCTGTCAAAGGTCCCTCTCGCAGTGTAACTGCCGTTGGGCGAGGTGGGCTTGGCGAGAGCTGCTCTCTATTCCATGACACGTACAGCACGGTGACAGTCACTGCTAGGACAGACCACCGGCGTGACTCCCAAGGCAGCTGTTGACATGGATTTGTTTTAATTATTTTTAATTCCAGACATATTACAAGCCAAAACAGCACCAGCAGTTTGTGTCATTTCCTCCTTCTACGTGGAAGGCAGCAGGCTGGCAGCTTTTCTCTGCGCGTTTCAGCTGCAGCCGAACATTTCTGTAGAGCTGTTCAGATACCTAGAAATTTCTTAAAGTCACACACCAGCCTGAACGGAATCTTTCAAAGGAAGTATTTCCTTTTTGCCAGGAAAAAAAAGACATTCTCTCCTTTGTGACTACTGAACATTTCACAATTTCTGTTTCAGATGTTCTAATGGAATGACCATAATGAGGCACTGTGGTCTACTGGCTATGTCTCAGACATATTCTGGACATCAGCCCTAGTTTCTTAATGACATAGCAACTTGACATAAACCAAATATATGGTAAGATCTCCCCGTGATCCCATAGCAGGTGTGAAATTCCTGTAGCCAACCACTGTGTCTGTCCCCATGTCCTAATCACTGTAAAGAGCAGTCCTCCCAAGCTAGCAATGTGCATGCGCTATGTCAGTTATCAGAAATAAGTGACACTTGCTAAATCAAATAACTCCTTCTTTAGGAGTAAGTTCTACTTTGAATTTGAAAAAAATGAAATAAATCAAGGAGTTCCATGTCTACATTTATCCCTGCCCTAATGTGCGCTTCATTACGGAACGTCCATTTCCAGTTTTCGTTACGATTTACTTCTTCCTCTCCCCTGACAGCTGTGCGAGCTGACCGAATGCGCGGCGGCAGAAACAAGTTTGGACCGATGTACAAGAGAGACAGGGCGCTGAAGCAGCAGAAGAAAGCTCTCATCCGAGCAAACGGACTTAAACTGGAAGCCATGACTCAGGTGATCCAAGCTATGCCAACCGACCTGACAATATCCTCTGCGATCCAGAACATCCATTCTGCCTCCAAGGGCCTACCTCTGAACCATACTGCCTTGCCTCCCACAGACTATGACCGAAGCCCCTTTGTAACCTCTCCAATTAGTATGACGATGCCACCCCACGGCAGCTTGCAAGGTTACCAAACGTATGGCCACTTCCCAAGCCGTGCTATCAAGTCCGAGTACCCCGACCCTTACACTAGCTCACCAGAGTCAATAATGGGCTACTCATACATGGATGGTTATCAAACAAGCTCACCAGCAAGTATTCCGCATCTGATATTGGAACTCCTGAAATGTGAGCCAGACGAACCACAAGTCCAAGCTAAGATCATGGCTTATCTGCAGCAAGAGCAAGCCAACAGAAGCAAACACGAGAAGCTCAACACGTTTGGGCTCATGTGTAAAATGGCTGACCAAACCCTATTCTCCATCGTCGAGTGGGCTAGGAGTAGCATCTTTTTTAGAGAACTTAAGGTAGGTAACAATTTCACATTGTATTATTTAAGAAAGATGATTTTTAATGTTGCACTTTGAGCAAGAAAGCATGGTTTATCTGTTTCCCCAAGCACCTCTAATTTATCTGGCTTTAAGTAAGCAAGCTGTTATGGTGAGAAATTTGTACCCGTCTTCATCTTAGTCTGCAATAAGCCGATTTCGGTTTTACTCTTCTCTATTTTACTGTTTATCCTAATAGTTGTTTAACTCCATAGGAATAGCACAGATTTTACTCCTTCCCTTTCAGCCTCTCTCTGCCTTGTACTCAGAGTTGAAGAATGCCTGTTACCATTCTGCACTCATTTACATAATTATTTTATTACCTCAAGTAACACAGTAACCTTATCTCTGCCCATCTATGTTCACTCCCTACTTAAGTGCATATTGGAATATTAACTTGCTCACTGGGCTATTATTTTGTATGTATACGTGTAGTTAACCATGAAGGCTAAATTGTAAGCAGGATACACATAACAGATAGCAAGGAGGAAGAAAGTATCTTTAGGACTCATTTGGTACTTATCACTACTGATACACTGGGGACTCCTGTACTCCACATCATCTACAACTACCTTTAGGCTCTTCTTTATGGACACTAGGCAGTTGGACTCCTCAGTACACCCAATCCTTACGCACAGCTCTCTGGTGGACAGAAATTTCCCCCTATACATTTGTCAGATGTCACTTCAGGCAATTTTGTTGTTTGTTGCGGTCAGGTCTGACACAGAAATCAGAAGCCAGAAATGTGGTATCAGCCACACCCTCTCAACCTACAAGTTAGCTCTGAAATGAATAAAACACCTTTCACCTCAAAAAACAAACAAATAATCAAACACAAGATGAGAAACTTATATTAGGTCCAAACTTCCCTATTATACTGGCAGTTAACTGAATTTACTGCAACACAGAGATGTTTTTGATGTAACTATTTGCTGCTGAACTCTGCAAAGTTTTCTGACCCCTAACTTCTTAATTGTTGAGCAAAAGAAAAATAATAAAATATCCAAAAAAAAACAGTAACTATGTAAGTTGAGAACTGAATCTACCTGTATCAAGAGCACAGAGGGGAGAGCCCATTAAAGATCTGCAGTCAGGATGCTTGCCACAGCAGCATTTCTATCACAGCCTTAATGATTCAGACACAAGAAATGAAGCCCATGACTACAAGAACAGTGAGCTGTATATGTTGTACATACAACTCCACTTGTTCTCAGACATTTTCATGACAATGATTGAAGGAACTATTATAAACTCAGCCTAAATTAAGAGAAAAAAGGGAGGAAGTTACTCCGGGGAGAAAAGAAAATGGATCAAAAAGGAGTAAAAACTGTCACATCTTTGTTTGTTTGCCATATGTTGTTCATAATCTTTTAGTAAGCCATGCTTCTCATCTTAAACAATGTTCAGATTAGAATGACAAACAGAATAAGTTTCCAAGAGACTATGTCTTAAAGTCAGGAACCAGGAACTTTGAACCCATTCAGTTCTTAAGGTTGGAGTAATCATTTTACAGAATTACTGAGATTTGCAGAAGATATTATTCAGTGTAAGGATTTTTAAGTTATCACGATCTGCCATAAAATTACAGTTATGATTAAAGTGATTATATGAAAAGATATTAGAGCAATATTTACTTTTCATGGTTCCGTTGCTTTCTCTGTAGGCAGATTTTATAGGCATTCAATGTGCTGTGCTGGGAACAGTCTCAGAGATGGTCTTCATTTCTAACCTCAGTCTGGTTGATACTCTTCAACTAAAGCACGCTTACTAGTGTGGACATAAAAGGTGCAGAAATCTGTTTCATTAAAGTGCTGATAAACTGCTCCTAACTCTTCCAGTATGTGCATACAACTTCATACACACAGATCTCTAACAACGTATATATACGTTCTAGAAACTCACGGCATACAGGCTTTGGCTACATCTATCAGAGGGAATGGTTTCTTTTCAGTATTTGTGCCCTTGGTATCATAGAACCTCCAGTTAGCTTTGCATCCTGTGGCATACCCTGCTCATTTTTCTTAATTGGACAATATCTGCTAAACTGTACAGCATTCCAGGACAGCATCACACTCAGAAGTCCATCACTTAGGAACAAGGTTACAACAACGCTAAGAACTTCCAACTTTTCAGCCTGAGGTCCTACCAGCACATTTAGATCAGACACCACACCAGTACCAGGTAGCATCAACTCTTTGCAGCTGAGAAGAGAGAATCAGAACTGAAATTTTTCCTGACCTTTCTGTCCATCCATGCTGTCAGCTCCTTCCAGTCAGCGTAGCAACAGCTATTTCAGGTTGCTCTGGAGAACACGGGTACCTGTGGGGAGTAAAAAAAGGACCTAAGGATATGACAGAGATTGTAAATGCAGAAGGAAGGAAAAGGTAATTATGAGGAAGATTCAAATAGATTTTCAAAACAGTTAACTTGTTCCCTACCTACTCTGAGAAATATATATTTGCTTGAAGTATTTTCCTATTATTCTGGCTCTTCTACATGAAAACCAAACCATCAGATGCATTCCAGATAAGATATACAAGTGCATTAGCAGATCTAAGACTAAAATTTTAACAGCTTCAAATAATGAAACAATTTATAGCATTAAAAGGTACCCTTGTATGAGTTCTAAAAGTATGTAATGTAAAGATCGTATTTGTTAAAGTGCAAAACCTTCCATCTTCATATTGGGTATCAGAAGTTAACGGAAGCATTAATGAAGCAAACTAGTTGGAATGAGTAACAATGCCAGAGTAAGAGCCAAAGCAGCAAGCTGCAGTCTAATAACCTGCATTTCAACATCTGCTAAAATCTCAAACATGCACCTGTGTTGTGGAGTAGGGATACTCTTTAATTAGTAATTACATTAGAAAAGTGGTTTGGCATCACACAATTCTTGCATCAAAAGAAATGTTTCTGCATAGACAAAGTATGAACACAGAAAACCTCCGAGTACAGTGATAATACTAACAGTGAGGAAGACCTTTGCTATTCTGGAGTTGCTGAAAGCTTAGTAAACATAAAAGTAAGATATATCTACCTTATCCTCAGCTATGAAAACTCAGGAATGCCCCAGGGATGCCAAATTTGTAGCCAGCTGTCTGAGTCATGTGAAAGGTCTCTGTACAAAGCTAAAAAGAAAATATTGCAAGAGTTTCTAGAGTCCAAAGGTTATCTGGCCCCAAGAAAGGATGCAGACAGTTCCAGGGGACTGGTCTTTCCTCATCAGCTCACAGCAGGGAAAATTCAGCAACTACTTCCAAAGTATTCTTCAAACCATAAAAGCAAGCAGTCTCCACTTGAGGCAGAAGAAAATAAAGCCTGCACTGGAGAACAGTCCTCAGGATACTTCCACATGGCTGAGGATCAGAAAATTCACTGAACGTTGATAGTTATAAAAAAGGCATTAAAGAACCTGTGACTCACATAAAAATACTACCTTGACTTATTTGCTTATTTTAGTGGGGATGTCACAGGTCAAAGTACTATGTGAGCACAAGCCCAATTAGTGAATGATTGCAGGAAGAGCCAGCATACTTCATGCTGAAGAAGTTCATCCTAAAACCATTCACTGAGTTTGTCAACTGACTTAGGCCATTCACTGATGTCAGAGCACCAGCTCTGGAACACTAAGCACACATCTGTCCATTAGCTGGAAACGCATCTTTCAAAGAAACGCTTCACCCACATTTCTCCAAAGGGCCTGTCTGCAGGACTTCTACTGTACGATGGCAGTACAGATGTCTTGGCAGCTAATAAGCAAACAGGTGCTCAGTTGTGTATTACGTGTTTCTCAAAAACACAACTATATTAGCAGAGTTTCAAATCATCTCTTAAAACAGTGCAAACTTAGTGTGAACTGGGTCAACAGAAGCACTGGAGTCCCTCTTACTTGTCACATCAAACACATCTAGATAAATATAGTAATAATAATATTCAATACATCATGGTTAATTTTAAACTTCAATCTCCATGAAATTGAATATCAAGAAGTGCACAGAAAAATAATGAGTTAAGGTACAGAAAGTGAATTATTAAACCAAATACATAGAGATGAGGGAAGTTTTATTCTTTAGAAAAAAAAATATCAGTAGTGGAATACCTTAAAAGTTTTTCTTCAGAGTGATAAAAGGTTGAAATATTATTTAGACCTAAGTAATCAAAGGCAATTTGATAACTTGAAGTGCTTTTGGACTTTGTAGCATCCATTTATCAGGGCAGGAAATGTAACTAACATAGCTGATGAAATAAAACTGCCATAGGAGTCTTTCAGTCAGGGAAGCAGTGAGAAACCGAGGTTGAGGATTTCCCTTAGTATCAGCAGTCTGACTACAGAGCGTGGTGTCATACGCAGCTATTGATTTTTGGGCTGGTTTGAGCATACTGGGATCTGAAAAAAAGTCACCATTTCTCAAACTTTCTAAATGTTGGGGGAAGTGGGAAAGTATGCATCTTACTGACCCAACAAGTTATTTGCATTAGAAACATTAATTTGATTTAACCAGGTGTGTTTCATAGTAAGAAATAATTCTTTTTCTGAGATCACGTGGAAAGAAATAGTGAAATGACTGCAATGAAAAGAAGCCTCACCAGAAAACCCAGGCTTAATGAAGCATGGAATTATACCTGCCACCCCACTGAAACTTGTATAGGAAGCACTCTGTTAGAAGTCCATGTGATGATCTTCTTGACTTCTGAACAAAGCCTGCGACTAAATGCAGTATTCCAGCATGCAGGAGTGTTGTTTGATAGCCCTCCTAAACTGCTTATTCATTTCCAAGCCTCTGGTGCCTTTTCTAAGGGTAAAAAGATGACAGCATTCTCCTATGCTCATTCATGCCAAAGCAGTCTACTTTGCCATATGCTGCTGTCACCTCTGATAGCAGGAGGCTGAACTCAGCACTCTGCAGTCACTTTCCCACCCAATGGCGGATGTTCAGCAGCAAGCTGAGACAAAGCTACTGTGCCTCATGTGGGTGCAT